GGGGGGGAACGACACACATACACACACTAAACCTAACTTAAGTTAACCATTCTAATCAAGGGTGCTTCACACAAAGCATTTTCTCTTAACAGCCAGGAAATAAAAAAAAAAAAAAAAGAAGAAGAAACTATAGGTGTAGCTATTAGATCTCCTTCTGTCATAAAAATAACCTGCTGTAAATTGCTGTAAATAAAGGGAGTGATGAAATAGATACCAACTGATTCTAATAATCTTAATAGATAAGTGTTAACATTTACTTACTTTGTTCTTTAGAAGAAACTTATTCCTACAAATGAGAATTTCTCTCAGCCACTTGAGGATTTCTGTACTGCTGAGCATCTGATGACTAGTTAGTTTCTTGCAGATATAAAAAAGCATTTGTGAACTGCAGCAAAATAAAATTCAGCATTAGCTTTATCATCCAATAACATAAAACTTTTGTAAATGATATCACTATATTTTACATAAAAATAGGCAATTAGTATGAATATCCTACACATATATACTAGTGTCATCTTTTTAAATGTATAATAGATATAATATAGGTGTGTACTTTAAATGACAAAGCCCCTCTGACCCTTCCCACCGCCCAACTGGCCTTTTTAGTTCCCTAAAGGAAGTTAAGCAATTTGGGTACTTGTTAGAAGTCCAGACTCCAGGGCTGTCGATTCAGAAGTCCTCCATTTATCCACAGAACAGATACAGCACAGACAGTGGCAGTACAAGTTTACCTACACTGCTCTGACAACGTGTTTCAACTCTGTTCTGGAAGGAACACATCTAGGGATGTTCCTCCTTCATATCCATTCAGGCCTCACACTCTCTGTTAAAACTGCCAAAGGGTCCAAATTAGTGTCAATTTTAATGGGTTTTTCCCCCAGCCCGAACAGACCACAAACTCATTTCAACTATGAGAAATTATAGTGATGAGTTTCAGTTATTGCCCATCTAGGTAGGACTCTGCCCCAAACTATTCCGTAACAAGCCTCTTCAGCCATATTTTGCAGTCATGCAGGCCAATTTGTTGATGCTGTTAAGAGTGTTCCTCCTAGACATTAATTCCCTGTCTTCTAAAAGAAATACCTGTACCAGTTCAGATGAAATCACCAAATTGTTTTTTACAATACTTTAGCTCATACAGTTCTTAATTCTAAGTTCAAAGACTCCTACTTTTTGCTTTCAGCTTTTTGTGTAATTCTGACTTTTTTGGAACTCTATTCACCTCAGTATTCTCCAAAAAATGAACTGCAAAAGCTGCTGTGAAGTTATATAAAGCAAGATGACTTTAACCAATAAAAATTCTTAAAATACACAGGAAAGACAAAGGAGACCCACAGGTCAGGGCAAACACCTAGCTTCCTTTAGGTGAGGGCTTCAGAGTCAAGATTAGCAAATCCACACTTCTAGAATTACTTCGCATCATCCTCCCTCAGACCCCATAGAAGAAGAAAAAATTTAAACAGATAGCAAGCATTTGAATGGGGGAAAAAAACTTCTAACTTTTAAAACTAATAATCACTGCTACATCTTAACAGCAGACCGAAGAAAGTCACTGAGAAAGTCAACAAGATGTTTGTTATGATATTTTTCACTTCAAATGGTACAAGATATCTTTGTCATGAGTGCACATAAATAATTTTGACTGCAGATTCATGCTGATGGTGCACAGCTTTCCCAAAATATTCACAGCTATTTCAAAAGAAACGACAAAGAAGAACAACTATTTTTCTTAATTACAAAAGTTAGCTTACATACCTAATTTCCCAGAACGTTTCTATAGGAGCATCAGGATTCCACAAGTCGATGCTGTCTAATTGGTGAAGAACTAGCAAGGCCTAAATTCAAAACAAAATAGAATTTCACTTAAAAGATAGAAATTCGAAAAGTACTTCAGAAGAGGCAGCAAAATAGGTGCAATCATATATTTAATTACATTTTTTTAAAAATATTTTTTTAAAAAATATAAAAATGTATATAGAGTTGTGTATTCATATGTGTACATATATAAAATTGTACATAAAACAGGAGTTTATGGTTAATCCAAATCAAAAGTACTTGTTTAGTTTTTATTACATATTTACAATCCAGAACAAGAAGATTTATCTTGTATTTCCATGCAAATCCATACACAACATTTAAAAAAAAAAAAAAAAGTTTGGCTTTAATACTGAATGACCCAACTGCGAAAAAATTAATGCAAGCAGTCCTACAAATACAAATTTATAGTGGCAACAACAAAATATCTGTAGTTCAGCTCTCTGCCAAATCAGGACAGGCAAATAAACCTGCTCTTTGGAACCATCTACATTAGCAAAAACTGTATTGTAAAAATTGGTTCTGACCATACCTAACAGCATACTGGTGAAATATGGCCCAAAAACTTAACCTCTGCTTTCTATTTAACTAGATTAACTAAAAGTGCTCAATAACCAACTACTTTTAGATTAGCTGAATACAGTTTTAAAAAGAATTACAGATCTGATAAAAAAAAAAAAAAAAAGGGTCAAAGGCTATAAACAAAAAGAATATTACCAGTGAGAAATCATTAACCTAGCCATAATTATAATAAGTCTTCAAGTGCAGAGTTTAGCCTTAATTATACCAAGGAATTATAGCAAACAAAATCTCTCAAGTTAGCCATTAGTTGAAGATGTCTGACATGCAGGCAAAGAAATCTAATGACTTTGGTGAAAGTAAAAGTTAAAGACAGAAATGAGTAAAGTTTTAGCTTTTTTTTCAAGAAATTCCAAAAAAGCAAAATTTGTAACTGTTAAGGTTGTGATGAGATTTCAACACTGTTAAAAATATCATTTAAAAAAAATAAGCGTAGCTGGAGAGCAACATGGGTAAGTAGTTATTATTTCAGGTTGGTTTGTCATTTAAACAAATACTCTAGAGAATAATTTCTTTAGTAACCTATTAGCTAAAAAATAGCACGAGAGGCCAGATCCTCAGCTAGTAAAGTGAATAATCAGATCCATAAGTGATCAAGAACTGAACTGTACACCCACAAGAAATTACATAATTACAGCAAGCCAAAACTCTTCCATCTCTACGCTCCTGTCATTGACAGTAAGGGTGTCACCACTTTACATAAACTTCCCCCGAGGCTTTCACACTAAATAGGATCACTCTTATAGAAGAAATACTCCTGTATTCTACTATTAAAAGTATTTTTAAAAATGCATTTCATATATGGATATGTATCTCCCTATATTGATGCCATTTATGGCAATTCTGGTTGATACAACTTTGACACAAAAGCCTTAGTTTAACTACTAAGATTCAACCATTCATGGAAAGCCTTACTGCATAAGGGTCTAATTAACCCATTTTTCACACTATCTGTGAACTCTTCACCTAAAATATGAAAGAGTTCATTGAGTACATATGCTACAGTGCACTTTTTAGCATGGGAATCTCTAATCTAAAGGTGGTAGGATAATATAACTAGCTATCCATCATGGATACTATATCAAAAAAACCAAACAAACAAAATAAAAAAAACCCCACACCACTGTTCCCTGCCATTACGTACAAGGAGAGGCTAAAGCTTGCTTCATTATAAATGAAGCTCTCTGGAGACCCACCGCAGCAAAAAAAACACAAATGTTTACAACTAAACTGGCAAAGTCAGAGAATTAGTAACATGGCATGGAAAGGCTGGAAGTCAGAAGCAACTCTGGTGACTTTTCAGCTTCTGCAGTCAAAGCAAGCAGGAGGAAGATTTCAGTAGCCTTAAAGTATCCTATCCAACCCTCTCACACATATATCTTCTCTCTCATCCACCACATAATACAGGACCAGACACTACATCAGGTGTTTTGGTCACCGCCATTCAGAAAACAGAAAAGAGAAGGGGCAAGCTTAATGGTGATCTCTGCAAAGATGTAACAGAGGATCTGTCAAACTGGATTTGCTCAATACCAACAAAGAACAAACTCTTCTAAGAGGTGCAGGATAGTCACAGTGGCAATATGAACTGCTGCCTTTTCAAAATCTTCTTACAGGCTTCTCCTGTAAAACTTTCAATGTAGGAGACATTTAGAAAAAGATCAATGGAAGCTAAACACTAAGACACAGAACTTCACAGCTAATCAATACTTTAGAGCTTCTTGATTTGTCTGCCTCAGCCTGTGAACTAATCATTTGGCACGCAGAACATTTATTGCTTACCTCCATGGCTTCTTGTGCTATATCTGGCATGCTGGATTGTGGAACAAGTTGTACAAGGCCTGTAATCAATTCAGCAGTGCTCCCTTGCGTCTCAGGCCCTTGCTTCCTTGGATTCTAAATAGTAAAACGGAAAGCAAATTTAGAAAGTAAAACTTTTTAATAATAGGCCATGTCACTGATCACTAAAGCAGTTGTGCCATCAATATTCCTGTAATTAAGCAAAGCGGATTTCTGGATCTTTAACAGAGCACCTATTTTTTTCTTAAGCTATGATGATCCTTTCTTGTGTATCATACCCTTGACCCATTAAAATATTTAAAAATTAAAAATAAACAAACTAGACAAAAAGGAAAAATGTTTAGCACTGACTGATTAGATCTTAGTACTACCCAATGCAACACTGCATATCACATGCTCTCCATACATACACGTTTGTCAGATTCGGTAGACATTTAGTTTACTTCTGCTGCTTCACATCAGAGTTGAAATATAGAAGATTTGTAAAGCCCCAGAAGAATATTTATGAAAAACAGAACATTCATTTCAGCATGAATTCAACAGAACATTACACCTGTTAAATTATGGTTCCCTTTTCACATAACCCCAACAAATCTTCAGCAATTTTTTTTTTTTTTTTAAAAGTATGGTTGCCTAATCTTTCCTTTTATTCAACATAGTAGAAGATATTAACACAAGTTTAGGGAGAAACTAATAAAGATCTAAGAGAGCATCTGTCTTTCTACTCATGAAAGTATTACCCAAATCTTTTTTTTCCCCCCTCATTATAGTTTTCTTCTTGTTCTATTCCCCTCTCCTTTTTTTTTTTTTTTTTTCCCCTTCAGAGTTAGGGAGCTTTATACTCCTTTTAATTGTGTTGTGCTGGGTCTCTAGAACTCCTTACAGTTTCTTCTTTTTGTTATCTTTCTCCTTCTGCAGTACAGAACCATTAAAACTAGAAAAGAGAATCAGTAGGGAAGTATCCTACATGCCAGGTTTACTTTTTTTTTTTTTTTTAATAGTTTTATTTTGGTACTTCTACAAAGTGAAATTTAAGGTCTTTACTGCTTGAGTATCAAAGTTAACAAAAGTTTTAAAGCATTTTCACAAATAAATTTTACTATCTGAATCAATAATATGGTATACTTACACAGAGCAAAAGCTTTGGATCGGCATGGATCAGTTTTACCAAGGACAACAGCAAGAACTTGTAGCTTCTGGTTTCCAAATCTGTAGGTTTTTCTTTAAATTTAAGGCTTGTCATTTTCTCTTTAAATGTGAGACTCTAATAGGAGGAAAAAAACACAATAATTGTCAATGAGGTACTCTATGTAGTGAGTTGTGATTAAACATTTTAGAACTGTATTGCTTATATAATCTATAATCGATGAAAAGTTAAAGAAAGAGGTATAATAAATTCACTGAAGTAAAAATCACGCTGCCTTCTAATTAAAAAAACTTTTAAATACACATATGTTATCATTTTGTTATATCTTTAAAGTTTACTTGAGAAATCTTTTAGTCACTGAGATGCACGTGGAAGAATTTGCATAAGACAAATTGTGGCAAAATAAAAACAGAAAAAAACACTAGTAAGAATTTTCTTTAGCTGCTTCGAAACAAACAGAAACAAATGGTTCCAAGTAAGCTGGAATACATGAGTATGTTTGGAAAAATTTCCCAAAGGCAAAACATTTTCATTTTCTGCCACAATCACAGTTGGAATGACAGTATTTTCATCCATACGACCTCTGAAAAGTGCACCTTTCAGCTTTCGCAAGGTGACACTATCATTAATGCGACACACAGTGCACCACAAAAGAGTTAGCTTCATTTGAAAAATTAGTAAGTTACCTCCATACCATTCAGCCTCCTCATCTGGAATGGAGGACATTTCAAGGTATGTATTTAGAATTCACATAAGGTATTCTGAATTGATCAAATGTGAAAAAGCGTGAATTAAATCATATTCTACCACTGCTGTTCACACAGTGGAATCCAGCTACCACTACTACCAAAACATTTAACAAAGAGCCATACATGGCGTTGGCTGTGAACAAGCATACACGGATGCTACCTGTTACGAGGGTTTCAAAAACTGAGTTTATGCTTCAGTGCTACAGTGTGCACAGCCTGCCAAAGTGAGCATCTCTGTTGTACGGCATTCAACTGTAGTTTCATCTCAACAAAAAGAAATTGGACATATGCTAATGTCTGTGATGATAAAGACTACTTTTTTTTTTTTTAAACATACACATATAACATGCGTTTGCATTAATTGGTCCCCAGTATGTCCTATGACAGATTTCAGCTCCCTCCAATAAGTTCAGACAATTTATATATTCATCAACTTTATCCTATATCATCAGGAATTAAGTTTGTATTTTTGCTTACTGCTACCAAAATAACTAAGAGACAGTAACTTTGACAGAAAAAAAGTGCTGCTGCGGGTATTCAACACAAGACAGAATACAACTTTCCTTAGAAACTCAAGTGAACAGTAACGTGAACTCGTTTTCATTTTCAATATACAAACATGCAAGTTCTGAACAAAAAAATAAACTAGCGTGAAATCATCCTCAAGGTAACTGAAGTGTAAGTATGACATTGTATAGTTAAAATCTACAATAAATGCTACAACCTCATACTATTTTGCTAGCAAACTTACAGCGTGAAAATATACAGAATAAAATCTACCACTTAATAAGCATCTGGTCAAGAAATTGGTGCTACACTGGTAGAGGTAACTAATTCTGTGCAAAATCTTAGTTTTATGCAATTAAGGGAATTCTGAAAACAGGCACAGGGCAAAAAGAAGCTGATTAGTTTGTGTGAAGTAAATAAATTGCTTCACAGAAACTAAAGACTAACAAAAGACAGAGACATGACTGCTCTCTGCAATTACATCAAGGGGATAAACACTGGTTTGAAGATAACATACAACATTGGCACAAGAATAAAGGTGGATAAGTTGGACATATGCAAGTTTAGGCTGGAAATTAGAAAACAATTCTAACCATCAGAGCAGGGAGATTCTAGAAGAGCACCATGATGGAGAAGTAGGGGGCAGAAAGAAAAGAAGAGAACCAACAAAAAGCCTTTACTCTTAAGCAGCAGCTCAGTTGGCTTGTGAAAGGGGTCATGCTGCAATTGCCAAGAACAGCACTGGACACGCAGACCCAGAGAGGTCTCTTCCAGGCCTATATTCTTATGTAAAACATGCTACCTTTTGTATCCGAGATGAAGTGTTGTGACTGCAGTGGTAACTATGCACAGAAAAGTCAGAGCAATGAAAGGCTTTTCTGCGGTAGTTACAAGGGGTCATACTTACAGCAACAGAGGCCCACTGCCATGCAAAACAGTGACTGGTTGGCATCTGACCATGAGAGCGACAGCAGCCAATAAGAACAGAAAATAAGAAGCAGAAGACAAAGCACCACCAATCAATGTCAGAGTTGCCATTACAACACCCTTGCTATTTTCTCAACAGATGAATATATATACTTAAAAAGCAAGTTAAACATGATGTAGCTTTCAACTAAGGATATTTTGCTCATGTTCTTTCATATGAGAAGCCCAACAGGAATATTTTCATGTATTGTTGCCAGTCTTCTTCTAAAATAAATATCCATCACATTTGGAAGCTACAATTCAGAAAATCAGCAACTTAACTTGACATATCGCAAGTCCTACATGGAAAGTTTAGAAGAAAGGCAACACAGTTGTGTATAAACTTACGAAAAAAAAAAAGCGCATCTGGATGAACCACAACTTTGAATTTACCCAAGATTTCTCCTAAGATCAAGAGTATTGATTTTATTTCATAATGCTTGGGAAAAAAAAAAATTCATTATTTTGATGCTGCTGCCAAGGCCAAACAGTCAACTTGCTCAACAGAAAGCAAGCAGGACAAATTAAAAAAAAAAAAAAAGAAACAATCATGCCAATCATTGGTAAAAGTACTGCAGTTACGAAAAACTACCCTAGCATACAAAAATATGATTTTTTTTTTCAGATTCAACAAAAATGGATCTATCACCTAGCTATTTATACAACAAGATAGCTTCAAATGGAAAACTAGCCATAGAGGACAGTTACAGAAGTAATACTATGTTGCCCCTTTAAAAGGGGCATGAAAACTAAGAAACATACATCACCAACTGACTATGAACAGTTAGTCAATATACCAAAAACTGCAAGGTTTACAGAGCATGTATGGCTCTCTGTTGCTTTTTGTATTGCAATGTTCCCCCCTCCCCCCCCAGCTCCCAGGCTAAAGTTAATGAATAAAAAAGCAGGAATGGAATGGAGACACAGAAAAAGCAACAGGTTTGTGTTTTAACAGCTTCTGTATGTGTCTTACCGGTGTCATGCGAATTGCTGGATGTGCCCCACAACCTTGAATAGCTTTATGAAGCGTCTCACTAAACATGCTGCGAAGCTCCATGGAATGACAGTACACAGCATCAATCTTGGGCCACCAGTCCAATGCAGACTAGAATTAAAAGGTAGTAATGCTCAAGCAGTAAATTGGATATGCATGAGTGACATTATGATTTATTTTTAAATCTGTAACAGTCACAAAAGCTGTAATATAATTAACTACCTTTAAAAATAGGAATAGCTGACAACATTGCAGTTTTGTTAATTTTTCATTCTAATCATAAAATTGGTGATATTTAGATGAGTTATAACAAAAGCAATACTTTCAAGTTAGATGCTTACTATATCACACCTCTTTATGAGCAACCACAAACTCTGAAACCATGACTACAGGAAAGCGTGGCAGACTTTAGGATACAGAAAGCTTATAAGCAATACTTCAAAACAAACATTTAATATGTGCTCAATTTCTTGTGACACACTGAAGAAAATAGAGTTTTGATATTGTAAATGCTTCATATCTCTGAAATACTGTATCACACAACAAATTAAATATAATAAAGCACAGCACCAATTCTGAAAACGTACAAAATAACAGCAACAGAATTATACTTAAAATAATTTCACTATTTCTGCTCCAGATATATCATCATATCTTAGAGTGGCATGTTCCCCCCTATTTGTCAAAACAACTAATACTTTTTTTTTTTTTTTAAACGTAGTATTCTCATTACAATGTTGAGATAAATGAAATATAAGAGCTTATGTAAATCAAGTAAGGTTGGTTGCTCATTATTGAGGAAGCCAAACCTCACTGACCAATTCTATGTTCACGGTGAACAGGAAAGCATTTCTGAACAGTACAAAGTCATATTTCAATGATACAAGAAAGTAACAAATTTAAGATGAACAGTTGCACAAACTCTCAAATGAAATTCTGGCACTCGGCGTTTACAACTATTTTATACTATTTGAATTCACACTGGATCAAATCTCTGGGCAAAACCATAAAGCCAACTCTCCCCCTTAGTTTCCAGGTCAATATACTAGAAGAAGTAGCAGAAGGTGATATAACTATGCATGACTTGACCTTGTGCAATTTCTCATGTAGCAGTAAAGCAATACACAAAACCAAAGAACATAAAATTTTTTGCTATCCTATATTATAGGGTGCTGAAATTTTATACTGGAATATAAGCTCTCAGACTGGTAATCTAACTGGAAGACAGAGCGAACAAAAATTTGAATGCCCTTCTTAGTAAGAAGCAACTCTTGCTGCATGGATATAAGTAACAAGATTTGGTCTACTATTTAAATTCTGTTTACTAACCAGATATTGATCTGAAGACAAATCACAGACTTCTTAAATATTTTCAGAACTTACATTTGTGATTATTCGATGGAGCGAGTTTACCAGTACATAATGAAACGTCGATGGGGAATTCTGTGCCAAGCAGATCTACAATGAAAACAATACATAAAAGCCACTTAGGAACACATTTTTCTTTGACATCTCTCATATCACGTTGAATAATGCATTGGAGCTTTCTTAAATTGACAAAATTGTCAAATATAAACATAAGAATGTCCAATCAGCTAAGATTAGATTTATAAAAGCATGCAGAGTTATTACTAAAGAATACTTATAAGGTTGAAGTTATTTGTGAATTTTCAGTTGTTGTTGGCATCACATCTTTGATAATTCACAGGCCATCAATAGTATGTGGAGAACATGACTTACTGGTAAGCAGCGCTCTCACCTTAAAGTGTTGGTTGTTGCGAGGGTTTATTCGGAAGCAGGAAACTAAACAGTCAATCATAAGGTCTACATCTGCATTTTGATTGCCTCTTGAGAAAGGTTTGCTTGGATTAAACAGCAAATTCTATACATAAAAAATAGATACAAAGATTATTCTTGTCTACTTTCAATACTTCACAGGAGGGAAAAAAAAAGGAGAAAGAAGCTGCTCTTAAAGTTATAATTTTTAGCTATCTCTAACAATATTTAGTACTTAAACCCTAAACGCTCAATTCATATTCCTTTTAATTCTTACTAAATAAATCAATCACTACTTCTAAAAAACCCTTTTTGATATAGGCTCGTATTTTAATGTGCACTACCTCTAACAAAAAGTATTTTTAATATGTGGACAAAAAAAAAACCCCACAAATGGAAGACTATCCCCATTTGCCTTTTAACTCACTCATTTGCCATAGAGCTCTCACCAGGTTGGACCACCACTCATCTCAGCACCCAAGGAGAAAGCAGCATTTACAAAGTAAGAGATTCAGACACTACAGCTTAGGGATAGCAAGTGACAGAAGTGTTGAAGTGGTTAAAAAAATTACCCAGTGCCATTTCAGCCATGAAACGCTGAGTGAAGAACAGAACGCAGAACTTCAGGAGAAAGAAAGCAAGACATAAGCAAAAATAGCAAGGGAGTGAAACAGGGAATGAAACAACTGAGTTGATTTTCTGCTGAAATTAGGAAAAAAATAAAAATTCTCCACTGAAAAAACACTATGATACTTAATTAAGAATAAATACATTTTTCCCCAATATTTTAAAATTCAAATGTCTTCATTGTAATTAGAAAACTAAGAATTTTTTACCTTAAGATCTACTACCATGGACTGCACTAGTAGGAAAATGACAGAATTATCTTCCCAGTTGATGTAGGTAGATGCTTTGCACAGTTTAACACAAGCAATAGCAGCACTTTCAGTCAGCTGTCTGCTCCCACTATGGCCTGCAAGGGCTTTCCTGAGATTGTCCAGGAACAGTTTCTGCAGAATTCAAATCAAGAATAGTTATAACCAGAGGTTTGGTAATCATTGCTCAGTTTTTAGTGCCTTAAGTATTAAAAACAAACAACACTGCACTTTCTGACCAGAAGTCAGGGATACCGGGGTTGCAGAAAGCAACCTGAGTTCATGCATCATTTTGGAGAAACATTATGTTTATTAGATATTCATTTTGGACCTGCTAGGGCAATCTGGATGCCACAAAAATAAATGATTGTTTATGCTTTAACATAATGTTCGCAGCCACATCGAATTCTGTATCTGCTGCAGGTACTGCAGTTATGGAACACAGCACAAACATTGCCAAACTGCAGGATGGTACAATACAGCCAGCTAGAAGCAATGCTAAACTTGCTGCCAGCAGAGGCAGAGGGTGCACAACACTGGGATTCAAATCTCCAGCGAGAGGTACAAGTTCTGAAATAGCATTTGCTTGGGAGATACAGCTTGTATGAATTATTGACAGTGAAAGAAAAAAGGTTAGGCTAGAACTTAAAAAGGGTGCAGAAATCTACATATGGAAATATATTGCACTTCTTAAGGTAGAAAATGACATAACAAAACATACCTTAAATACAGATGAGCAAGATGAGCACCCTTTAAAATTCAAATATGTTTCAGATTCAAATATTTTTCTTTTCTTACCTTGTTCATTTTAGTTTCTTCTACAACATCCTTTGCTATATCTTGGATTATCTCTGGGCACAGGACTAGGAGTATGATTTGCAGAGGCCAAACTGCTGCTTTACGTTTTGTGCTTTCAGCAAAGCCATCCACTAAGTCAAACAACTTCTCTGCACAATCTGCATAAAACATAACCAAGTTTATAACCAATTTTAATTATGAAGAAGTGAAGAATACGTATAAAAGAGCAGAGGCATAGCTCTACCTAAACAGAAGAAGGTTCTGTTTTGCATGCTATTGACATGAATAAAATGGGCTATAACCCAGTTAGAGCTATGATTTATCTTGGTTTATCTTGCGGGGGGGGAGGGGGAGGGGGAGGGAAGTATCATCTCTTTTTGACTAGAGACAAATATAGGCGCTTTACTTTAAACCAATTTTAAACACATATTTAAGAGTTAGCATCTTTTGAGCTGTATTTCCTTGTTTTGTGAACCAAAAATGAATCTCTCTAAAAACTGAGTCAGGAGAGAAGAGACTTCAGTATGTACCTGCCTGCCCAGGCAAAGGTTGACAGAAATATGTTTCTTGTTACACAGGTTGCACAAGAAGGAGGGAGGACACAAAAAGCAAGTGAACGTGAGGCTCTTTTAGGAAAAAACCCACACTACTAAACGGGGGTGGAGGGGAACACACCAAGTCTTAAACACTAAGTCATTTGTTATGCCTTACCAGCCATATCAGTCTGCGGTGTTTGATATAGCTTTGTGAATTCATCAGGATAGTTTTCCACCCAATTCCAAAATGCCTGCAGATAACACAACAAATCTTTACATGCCACAGCTTAGAAAAAAGTACTTCCTGTATCACATGGAAGCGCAAGAGATCCCACTCCTGCTTCTAGACTTAATGACTCAATATTCATTGCAAAACATATATGCTTTGAAGGGATCCACCAACATATATTTTACACAAAACTATTAAATTACAGCAATTCCAAAATTAAAGATAGCTTGTAAATAAACAATGAAGCAGAAGAGAAATAATAAAATACTTGCCTTTTCAAGACTGTTGATAACAGCTAACTGCGCTACTTTTTTTAGGGCTTTAAACTTGAATACTGTCTCTGTAAAGGTAAAACATTTCTGTATTTGAAAGAGAAACTTGGTTCTAAAAAGCAACATAGAACATTTACAGAAGACATCTGAGGTGCAAAGCCATTTTTACACCAATACCTTTATGCTAATGACATTTAAAAAATAGTTGGACAATCATATATATGAATATTTGGAGTAAAATACAGCAATAGAAAGAAATACATATCAACACCTCATCTTTAGCCATATTTAAATATTTCAATACACAAGTTCACATCATACCTTGCAAGAGTCGTTTTAGTTTTGAACAATCCACACTGATGTACTGTAAAAGTTCAATATCATGAACATCAGCATTATCTTCTGAACATACAGTCAGTTCCTGTAATCTAAAAATATGCAAAGTAAAGTAACTTCTCAGTGAGACAATGTCAGATCAGTATGGTAAGCATGATTCTAAACATCTGAATAGCAGGGGAATATTATAGGATCTCCCCATATAATAACATATCATCTCCTCACATGAACATCTCCAGGTTTAGAAATGAAAGACAGACCCTGAACGATTAAGAGCTATTGTTACAATATTTTTATTCCATCCTCACCTTGAAAATGAATCGAGACCACAATGGTGAATCTAACAGGAAACCAATACCATCTGACGACACTCTGTTCCTATCAAGATTTGCCCAAATCCTTCTGTTATTTACTAATTGCAGCTGTTATCAATGTCACCTTTCCATCTAAATATTAAACTCGTGGAATCATGACACCTTTTGATTACTGCCCCTTTAACAACAAGTCTTGCCCCATGCTGATTTCTCAAGAGCGAAGTAATGGCTGATGGTACTTAATG